ATATATATATATATATATATATATATATATATATATATATATATATATGACATATTTTATTTATACTATTCATATAAATATTCAAAGTACTAAAACTATTCAAAGACTGTTTGAATGCTAAAATAAAGGAAAGTAATTAGAATAGAAAAAGAGAGAGATTTGAAAGCTAATTCAAGCAACTAAAATTTAGAATAGAAAATATGAGGAGAAACAATATAAAAAGATAAATAAGGATAAAACTAATCCCATAATTTATGGTACTCATTAATTGTTTCCATAATCTTTACAGTATGCTGATATTGTAAAAGAATATGCTATATATGGAATAAACAAAAATTAATATTATTTTCTTAAATACTTTTAAAAAGATGCTCCGCAGTGTATTTTTCTCTTCTTTTTTGGGGCAAGTGCATAGTTAGCTTTATCTAGATGATATTTAGAGATTAGTTGGCACTTATTTTGTCCTGAAATTTTAAATTTAAAATCTTAACTTCATGACAATTCAGAAATTTTTGTTCCAAAAAGTTGCATTGAAAAACTGAAATTCAGGACACACTGGCTAATTCCTAAACAGTAGCCCCTTAGAGTGGCTACCTGGACAGAAATGCACTTATAGAATAGAGGAAATTTTACCTCTTGTAGCAAAGGTATACACCATATTTATTATAAATTAAAAATTTTTTAAAATATTATTTTCTATAGCTACATTTTATTTTTATAGCAAAATAGGTGTTTATGGTATACACTACTATTAAGGCATTAAATACGTTATTTATGTTTTTCTCTCTCATTCTTTCAGTTATTCTCTCTCAAAATCTCAGCAAAATACTTCTTCTTTCTCTCTCACACATCAAGATTGTGTTGATTGTTAAAGCATGATTCTCTCACAACACGATTCTCTCTCTCACTCTCAACGTTTTTGCTCCAAAATTCGTGGTAAGTGTTAAAGTTTTTTGGTTTTTGGCCAGTTCACGCTTCTAATTTTTCTCTTCACTCTTTTTTCTTTTAAATTTTCACTTTTGTTAGGTTTTCAGCATAAAACTTCAAATTTCCTCTTCAATGGTTGATTCAACAACTCCGAAGAGGGTTATACGAGGTATACCCACTAAAGCACTCAATTTTGATGAGTCATCTTTCGATTTGCAAATCACTCAAGATGAACCTTTATTTGCAGGTTCATCAACAACCATGGAAGCAGAAAGGCGAACAAAAATACGCAATGACCCTATGAAACAAGGTCAAATTGAGAAATCTTCGAAACAATCAACAATTCCTAATGTTCCTCAAGTTTCTGTACAAAACTTAAATGTGGAAAAGAGAAGAAAACTTATGATGTTACTTCTGGGAGCAAGGAAAAAGAGGTCGCTAAAGGAAGTAGCTCAGAAACACGGATGGACAAGGTATTCTTAGATGCATTTATATGTATTTGAGTCTGCATACACTGACTTTAGTTTGTACAGTGATTTTATTTTTTATAGTTAGATATATTTATATGTATTTGAGTTCATAAAATAACATTTAAATACACCAATAGTTCTATCATTATTGACATAACTCAAAGTTGTTTTTTGTCATAATCAGTGTTTTTGATGTATTTATGTATTCACTGTTTTGTATGTAGTATGTACTGTATTTTGTATACAATGAAAATAATGTATTTCATATATATATATATATATATCGCCTCATGTTTTACTCGTGTTTCGTGGACTTCGGATGTAAAATGTATTGATTTATGTTAATTCGTGGTATTTTTATGTGTAGGAATCATCCGGAGGCAATAGGGGGCGAAAGGTGCGAGATTAGAGCCAAAACGGAGGAAAAATGGGAAATGTTGAATAATCCACAGCCAGCTCCCCACGCCACCTGTGGCGCCGTTTACAGAATGCTCAATTTGCCAGCGCCCCACGCTGCCCTGGGCGCTGGTGACGGGAATTTCTCCAACTTTGCCCAGGATAAGGTTATTTCGGCTCTAGACCTACCCAACACGTATAAAAGCAAGACTAAACATATTTTTGAGGGGGAGGTGCCACTTTGAAGAGAGAATACACACGGGAAACATTCGGGAGCCAGAAACACGGATGGACAAGGTATTCTTAGATGCATTTATATGTATTTGAGTCTGCATACACTGAGTTTAGTTTGTACAGTGATTTTTATTTTTTATAGTTAGATGTATTTATATGTATTTGAGTTCATAAAATAACATTTAAATACACCAACAGTTCTATCATTATTGACATAACTCAAAGTTGTTTTTTGTCATAATCAGTGTTTTTGATGTATTTATGTATTCACTGTTTTGTATGTAGTATGTACTGTATTTTGTATGTAGTATGTACTGTAGTATGTACTGTATTATATATATATATATATATATATATATATATATATATATATATATATATATATATACCAGTAGGG